CTTAGGAAGTTGCAGGGATGACATAAATTAGCTGTTCAATACGTATTCAATTTTTTAAAATTATCCTTTCATTTTTTTTGTTCTTGACTTCCCTTTCCAAGGGGCATGCATTGTTTGGTCATGGTGGTGATTTAGTTGCTCAGTCATGTCCGACTCTTGCGACCCCATGAACTGTAGCCCACCAGGCTCCTCTGTTCATGGGATTCTCCAGGCAAGAAAACTAGAGAGGATGGCCATTTCCTTCTCCAGGGGATGTTCCCAACCCAGGGATTGAACCTGGGTCTCCTGCACTGCAGGGATTCTTTACTGACTGAATAGCACATGAAAAATCTCCTGGCACAGATCATTTGCAGAGGGTGATGCTTCTGTGCCCCTGCCTTATTAGTTTTCTAACACCATCAGGCCACATTCCCTTCTAAGGTTTTAACACACAATGCTAGCATGTACATCACACATCTTAAATTACATAACAGAATGATCCATGACAAGCCCATACCCCCTTTATAATCTTATCCGTGATACATATCATGCACGTGTTAAGAAGCTCTCTGATTAGGTTACAAATGCTTATCTTCAAAATGTATCTGTATTAGAAAATATCACCTGGGACTTTCCACTCCATTCTCAACTAAACAGCCCAGCCAAGCAAATAGCTATCTACAAACTCACTGTCCCGTGATTGTGTTTCATCATACTTCCCCTTCGTGGTGTGACTTTAATTAGGATGGTCTTGCCCTGATGCTCAGCAGGCTTCCATCCACCCACTGGGGCACTGTTTCCCTTGGAAATTCCCTTTTCCACTCTCTTTCCTCAACACTGGCAATCCCACTGCTTAACGCTGCCCTCCTAATACTCACATGCTTCCATGTGTCTCCAAGAGCTTATTCATGTAGCAGGAGGCATCAAGGATCCAGCACTTTTCTACAGATGTTCACTGGTACATACTGGCCATCACATAGCAGGCCTGAGTGCTAAGGCAACAGGAATGAGAAATATGGACACGTCTCTGCCCCTTGGAGCTTAGCTTTCTGGGTAAGAAAGACATTAATGAATCAAACAGATATCGTGAGTATGATGAATGAAAATCACCAGGTGCTAGGAAAGTGGGTTGGGGGTGCCTGATGCAATCTGAAAGAGTCAGGCAAGGCTTCTCGGATCTAGCAGAGAGCTGAGGATGGCTGCAGTGAACTAGGTGGAGGTGAGGGCAGGGTTCCAGGCAAAGGGGAGAGTCAGTGCAAAGGCCCTGAGGTAGAAGTCTGAGCGTGCCACTTTTGAGGAAGAGATCAGAGGCAGAGTGAGGGGGCTCAGAGAGGGAGGCAGAGAGCCCTGCAAGATGAAATGGCCGGGGCTCTGGCTCTATGTCCCTTGTTCTGGATGTATCCTGGGAGCCATAGGAAGGGTCTCGAAGCATTTAGGCAAAAGAGACATGGTCTAATTTACATTAAGAAGATCACTTTGGCTAACGTGTGGAGGATCGCTTAGAAGACCTTATCTTTTGTCTTGTGCTCTTTTCTGTGATAGGAACAGAGGAGGGAAGCTCTTTGGGGAGAGAAGATCCTGATTCACAATTGATGTGACTGGTCCAGGACACCTTTGGGGCATTCAGGCAGACACAGTGAGCACACAGATGAATGGATATATCTGCTGTCTTAGGAAAGACCGGGTCAAAGCTCTAAATCTGAGACAGTGACTGAAGCCAGAGGAGTGACCGAGATTGCCAAGGGAGACATGAAGAGCAGAAGAGCAGGAGAGATAGGGCCAATCCGGATGGATTAGGACATTTAAAGACTGGATAGAGGAGGACTGGGGCTGCCCTGGTGCCTCAGAAGATAAAGAACCTGCCTGCAACGTGGGAGACCCGGGTTTGGTCCCTGGGTTGGGAAGATCCCCTTGAGGAGGGCATGGCAACCCACTCCAGGATTCTTGCCTGAAGAACCCCCATGGACAGAGGAGCGTGGCGGGCTACAGTCCATGGGGTCACAAACAGCAGGATACGACTGAGTGTCTAACAAGCACTGTGGCCCTAGAGGAGGACTGGTCAGCGAAGGAGATGGAGCAGGAATGACCCGGCAGGAGGAAAGCCAAGAGCGTGTTTTGTTCTGAACTAGACGCTTTCAGATACTTCACATACATGCGACTGAAATCCACCTTCAGTTGACTTAAAAAAAAAATAAAGGAGAATAATTCACTGACTCTTATAACCTGAACTCAGAACTAGTCAGACATGCCTGGATCCAAGTGTATAGACAGGTCCTTGGGGACTTGCCTCTCTCTTCATCTCTCAGTTCTCAGCCAAGTTGGTTATTCCACATGGTGGCCTGATCAGGTCACTGCCAGAAACTTCAGGCTCACATCCTACTTAAGGTGATGAAAGGGATTCCCCAGTGGCTTAGCTGGTAAAGAATACACCTACCAATGCAGGAGACACAGGAGATGTGGGTTCAATCCTTGGGTCAGGAAGAGTCTTTGGAGAAGGCAGTGGCAACCCACTCCTGTATTCTTGCCTGGAGAAACACATGGATAGAGGAACTTGGCTGGCTACAGTCTACAGGGTCTCAAAGAGCTGAACACATCTAAGCATGCACACACACACACACACACACACAAGATAAAAACTCTCTCTTTTATTGGTTCCAGCAAGACACCAGGTATCACTCTCGTTGGCATGACTCAGTTTATGTGTTCATCACTAAGTTGGAGATTGGCATCAGTCATGCACACACCTCTTGGCCAGAAAGTTCCTCAAAAGAAAAGCAGAGTGCTGTTACCCAAAGAAGGTAGCAAAACAAGGTAGGCAAACCTGATACAAATGCCACAGGGATGAGTGTTCCAAGAAGGAGAATATATTCAACAGTATTAAATACCACTGAGAGATCAACTAAAATGGCAGCTAAGAATGCTATCCCATAGGATTTGGTCACCTGGAGTCACTGTGACCTGAGACCCGCATGAATAGCCCCATCATAAAGTGGGATGTGGTAGGAATCATCATGCAAGTTGAAACAGTCACGTGAACTCAGCAGAGACAAAATCACTTAGAACTGAGGTGACCATGGAAGACTTCCTGTAAGAGGTGGCATATAAATTGGGCCCTTAAAAATGGATAACATTTTCAGAAGTAAATTCAGAGAAGCGGAGGAAGGAAAGGCACTCCAGTTAAATACAGCATGAACAAAAGCATGGTAACAGTGATGCTTGGGGTGTGTTCACCGAGGGCTGAGTAGTTGATATTTGGTCCAAGGATTAAGGGCCAAAAGTGGATGCTAGCTTTGTTCAGTTTATGAGTTATTCAGCTACAACCCACGTGCTCTCAGTCTACCAGCCTGAGTGTGTAGATGAGAGATGACTGTCACTCTAATGGACCTGACTCGGATCCCACCTGGAGAGGGACCTTCATATACTCTTGCCTTTCCATTCAAGGGACCCCTGGGGTATGGCACACGGGAACTCAACGTTAAAACTTGTTCTTTTCTGTGACTCTCTGAGTGGCCTGGGCTTGCAGCGCTGATATCACTACTCATGGGTGCTTCTGCCGCTCAAGCTGCCACCTCCATGGTGAACACTTGGCTACTTTACCTTCTCGCTGACTACATGTCAGGCAGGCAGACGGCCGTTTCTCGTCTCGCACTTGACTCGTTTCTCATTCCTTCTTCCTTTCACTTTTTATCCCAGGAAGTTGGCACTAGCATGGAGGGTAGAGATGAGGAATTGTGGATGGTTGACCATTTAGGTGACTCCACACTGTACATATTCAAATATCCTCTAACCATTGTTCCCAGAGTAATCATGTGTGTCCTGAATCTCTAGCCCCTGGGGTTGTGTTCCTTTCCTCCCCAGAAACAGCTCAGGGGTTTCCATCTTGGTAGCCAAAAGCCAATACCTGGTCACTTAGACTGTATCTTGTTCCCAAGCTCTTAGGACTTTTCTGCAGCTTGGACCTCTGTAAGGAAAGTCCACCTGCCCAGATACAAAGACCGTGCCAATTAGAATTCAAGGTTGATGGTTCCCTTACATACCTCCACACTGGCATCCTTGATACAGCATAAAAAAGTCTTGATAGGGGTCACTGAGGGCATTTGAGCAGAAGAGTGCAATGCACAGACCGTGTTTAGAAAAGATTGCATGTGGCTGGGGTTTCCAATGGACTTGGGAGAGCAGAACTGGCAGATGGTGAACTGTTAGGAGGCTGATGGTTCCATGAGAGACAAACCCTTAAACCAGAGACACCAAGGCAGATTGTGGAAAGGTGGGGATGGATTTTAGAAGCTCTTCTTTGGGGGAAAACCATAGAAAGAAAGAAAGGAAGGGAGAAAGGGAGGGAGGGAAGAAGGAAGGAAGGGAAGAAAGAAGGAAAGGAAAGACAAGAAGGAAGGAAGGAAAAAAACAACACTAACATCTCTGTAGGCCAGAACAGACTGAGGAAACGCACCACGGGGGAGGGAGTGCACAGGTGTGGCCCCAGGACATGAGGACCCCATTCTGGAGGAGAGGCAGGCTGGGAACAGGGCTCAGCTGACTCTGGGAGCCCTGGACAGGACCCCAGGTGTGCACGTGGGCTGGGTCCATCTGAGGAGCTGAGCCTGCCTGCCTGGGATGGCAGGGAAGAGCCCTCTTGTCCATGGAGTGGGGGGAGGGAGCACATCACCACCCGGGGAGGACCCGCTTCTAGCCACTGGATGTCTTCCTGAAGACTCAAGCCGCCCATGGCGGTGCACAGGTGCCATCGTGGGTCGGGGGCCCTGATGACCAGATGAGCAAGGGCCGCCTCCTCAGAGTCCCCTTGACCCAGCTCTCTAGGGAGACTCTGAGCACCCCCGCCCGTCCTCACTCCGGCGGGCTCCCTGGCCTGCGTGTAATTGAGTCTCATTTTTCCTCTCGAGGAAACTTGGAACAGTTTTTCTGGAGCCCCCGGGAGTGTGGAGAGAGCCTCATTCATCCACTTGAGGTCACATTCTACGCCTTAAGAGGGATCGAATCTCTCCGGCTGCGCCAACTCCACTTCACAACGCGTGACTCAGCGGAAGGCCCCTTCCATTGTGCCCGCCGGGGAAAGGGCCTGTCTTGCTCCAGAGAGCGGGACCCTTCCTCGTAGCCCTGCTCTCTGGCCGCTGCAGAACTGGCCTGAGCGAGCGCTCTCTGGCTTCATGCCGCTCGAGGACCGGGGGCAGGGTGGTGATGCGCGGCTGGTCCAGAGCCTTCGGGGCAGCGCACGCCTGCCCCCACTCCTGGGACGGGTTTCTGCATCGCGACCACAAACAAACAGGCACGTCCTTGGACAAACCGTGGTAATTAGAAGGGGGAGCATAATGATAGTCAAGTTACCTTTCTCCATTCATTCCACAGGCATTTTTCTGGGTGTTTATTTTTGGCAGAGCGCTATTTTAGGGGCGGGGAGAGCACGTGGGGAAGGGAAGAGGAATCGGTCCAATGTGGCAGCTTGGGAGCCAGCGATGGCTGGCGGGGGATGGGCTGCATTAGTGTTTGGTCTCTGGAAGATGAAACGGCGCGGCCCAGCTCTGTGGGCGGTTCTTTGATCTTCCAGTAACTGCTAGAGTAGCAATTAGCATCTTTAATGCTGAGAGGAGTCTCTGAGAAACCCTTAAGCCTGCTGATTTAGGTTAGTAGATCCGGAAGTGTGGGTGCCTGAAAGTGAGTGAGTGTGTGTGGGAGAGAGAGAGAAGTGGGTTTTTGAATTAGATGTTTGATATTTATTTGATAATATAGTTTTCCACATTTGACCGTGGTGTAACACCCTAAAAATAAAATCCTGTTGTGTTGTTGACAATGGAATCATCTGAGTACTTATACTGAGAGGGCACGAAGTCCTAAATTTACCAGAAAACATGAATTTCTGAACCTTATAATACTGAGAGATATAATACGCTCAAGGGTCTTGTCTAGACCTCCCATCAGAGACAACTCTTCCCTCGTGGGCTGAGTTCTGGAAGCTGAGGGGCTTAGCTCTCTGTTGGGCCATTTTCTAGAACTTACTTAAGTTACTTAAGCCCTTCAAACATTAGTTTTCACATTCATGAGATGGGGATAACCTGTAACATGGGGATTCTTTGCTACCTCATAGGGTTGCTGGTGGATTTTTTTTTTTTTTGCAAGAATTAAATGAAATAATTCATGTAAGTACTGAGCTCACACAAGGGTTAGCACACAGTAGATATTTAATGGACTACTATTTTTAGAAAAAACTGGAAGCAAAGTATATATTGGAAGAGGACCCCCCCCCAGCCCCCCACAAGCACTTTTCTCTCAAAGGCTGCTGAGCAGGACTAGAGTAAGGGAATATCTATTGGAAGATACAGAGTCTTAAAAATTATTTTAATTTCTAGTGATACAAAAATAATTAAACCAATTTATTTTAAGTCACCATGAGGAACCTCAATCTCTTACTAAATACAGCAAATGCATTAATACAGACATCAATACTATAGCATAGACAAAACAGAAGTGCCCATAATGGAGGGCTGGAGAAAGGGGAAGATTCTTCTTTTTTTTTAGATTTTTTTTCTTGAGGAGGACCATTTTTAAACTCTTTATTGAATTTGTTACAATATTACTTCTGTTTTATGTTGGTTTTTTATTTTGGTTTTATGTTGGTTTTTTGGCAGTGGACCTTAGCTTCCGGACTGGGCACTGAACCCACAGTCCTGGCACTGGGAGACAAAGTCTTAACCCCTGAACCGCCAGGGCGGTCCTGAGAAGAAGATTCCTGAGGGAGGAAGGGGATGAGAGCAGGAGGCAGAAGAGGGTCGCAGGAGCAGGAAGCGGAGCAGGAGGGGTCAGGGCTGCCAGGAGTCGGCCCCAGAACCTTCCCCTGGCAGGCCTTTGATCCTCACCGCACATGGCACCCCCTTCACCAGTCCCGACTCAGCTGGACCCAGAAAGCGCCAGATGTGAGGCCCAGCTCCTTCCTCCTCCAGCCGAGTCCTACGCAGCCCAGACCAAGCGCCATACATCAGGCTGTCTCGAGGCCCGGCCAGGGCCCCTGGGCCCACACTCCATGGTGGCCTGACTCTCCGGAGCTCCCCCATTCTCCTCTGGCCTGGAGAGGAGGCCTGGAGTCTGCTCTGCGTCATCTCTGATTTTCATTTCATTAATCATTAAAACCTTTTCTTAAATGACAAGACACTTCAATCATAAAAGTCTACATCACCCAGACTCAACAAATGTTGGTAGTTTGCTCTATTTGCTTCAGATTGTCTCTCTCTTTTTTTGGCCTCACGGCAGATGGGATCTTAATTTCTTGACCAGGGATCAAACCTGTATCTCCTGCAGTGGTAGCTCAGAGTCTTTACCACTGGACTGCCAGGGAAGTCCCCAGATGATTTCTTTTTAGAATATAAGCAAATTACATAGAGAGCAGAAATGTTTTTCTCCTTCCCCAGAGTGAACCACTCTCTTACAATAGGTTTTTAGTTCTTGTCCCTGCTTTCATTTTTATGGCATATGTATGGATTTACACATGGCGCTGTATAGAGTGCTGTTTGGGTGTATTTAAAATGTTTACATAAATCATATTTTGCTGTTTTCCCTCAACATGGTGTTTCCAAGATTTACCTATTTTGATGCTTATAGAACTCATTTGCTTATATTTTAAATTACTACATAGTTTTCCATTTGGGAGTGCATCATAATTATGTTTCTATTCCCCAACTGATGGACATTTGGATTGCTTCCAGTTTTTTATTCTATGACAGCAACATGACTGAAAAATATTGTGTGTATTTTCTCATGCACTTGTCATGTGGTAGGCAAAGCTTCTACTTTCTGGCTATTACTAAATTGCTGTCCAAGGTGGCTCCATACCCACAAGAACTGTATGAGAATTCTCATCCCCCAGAACTTTGTCACTACTCAGTAAAGTATAAGTAACATTTTGCCACTGTCTTAATTTCCATTTGTCTGATGACTGCTGAAGGTGAATATCGCTTTATGTGTTTTGTTGACCGTTCAGGTTTTCTTCTTCTGTGAACTTGTTTTTCCATTTTCTCTCTTGGGTTTTCTCAGTCTTCTTTATCTCTAAGAGATCTTCAAGGACTCTGAACAGTGACCACTTGTTAGCTTTATGGATATTTCAGGATTACTCGGCAAGAGCAGCAAGGATGCCCTGCTCTATGTCAGACACAAATTAATTAGTTGGTTCTTTTATGAAACCATGAGATACAAATTAACACAGGGGACAAACATCAACTTAAAGGTTTTTCAAACAAATATCTCTTGTTTTATAACCAAGATAATATTAGATCATCGTGCTTAGTTGCTCAGTCGTGTCCAGCTCTTTGTGACCCCGGGGACTGCAGCCTGCCAGGCTCCTCTGTCCATGGGATTCTCCAGGCAAGAACACTGGAGTGGACTGCCATTTCCTCCTCCAGGGGATCTTCCCCACCCAGGGACTGAACACATGTCTCATCTCCTGCATTGGCAGGCAGATGCTCTACTACTGAGCCACCTGGGGAACCCCGAAGGCTTTGTGTACGGTGCTTCTTATAATGCTAGTGCCAGCGTTTTATCTCCTCCTACAGGACAGAAGAATTGTAAGATGGCAAGTCAACGTCTGACAGCCTTGGCATGCATGGATTTTCCAAGGGTTTTCGGCATCCTGGTTTGCAAATACCTCCTCCAGCTTGTTGGCTATCTCTTGTCTTTGGCGTACTTTCTGGTGTATAAGTGCAAGATCTCACACCTCGTACCTATTCATGAAGGCTCATGAAGGCTCCATCCCCAGCCTTCCTTGGGCCAAGACTTCAATCTTAATCCTTCCAGGATTCTGACTAATCAGCTCAGCCATCTGCTACTGCCCACGAGTCCACGTAAATCTTTATGCTGGGTCACTGTGCTTTCTACACAAAGATGATGAAGTACATCATCTGAATCTATTCATCCGAGGGATTTCCCCCCCATGGCTGTCCTCCTGAGACACCCTGAGATGTGTTATAGTGCAGAAGCATCCCATGTTCCTCTTGTACCATCATACCAAGCCAATTCACCATGAACTAAGTTCCACCTGTTCCTGCTCAATAAGTTGGTCAGGGGGGACCCATCTCTCACATGATACCATAGGCACGAACCGAGGGAGAGGCAGAGGAAGGAAGGTGTCCTAGGGGCTTGGGACATCATACTTATTTATAAGCCTTTTCTGATTGTTCTATGACCTTAGGTTCCTAGTTCTGCACATCCTGTCTCTTTCTCATGGGAGCTTGTTTCCTTCTGTGAATGTAGGATTTCACTGTAAACTACACTGCTGCAAGTTCTTCTCTGTGGCAGCCTCCCTGGAGTTGGGCTGTCTTATGGCTTCCTCTGCAGAGACCCTTGGATGCTCGTCTGCCTTGGACTGGTTTTTGTCAGTTCCTGTGCCATGCTGGTATTGCACATTCAGATACCACAGCCAGTGGCCTAGGCATCTGACTGTTCTCAGGTGATTCTCTTTACCTGGCACGTGGGAGGGGATTACTCATCTTTGTGGGTGGAGCTGGCCTGGGTCTTACGTCACAGGTGACTAGGAGGAAGATGATGCTCTGTTCCTCTACCTTGACTCTCAGTGATCTAAGCCCTTGACTCTTCAGTTCCTGTAAAGGCATCAGCCTTTTAGTCTTCAGCCCCACAGATCTATGCCAGGGCCTGTCGGCTGTGTGGTCCGCCATACTTCAGTTCTTGTAGGTTGTGACGACTGCGTCTTTTTCAGTTCTGGAACATTTCTTTAGCGTGAACTCAACTGTGCATTAACTAAATAATTTTTGCTTTTTTTAATCTGGCTTTATTTCATCTAGGTATTTTAAGTAGGAAGTTGGCCTGAACGTGTCAGCTAAATCTACCATATTTACTGGAAATTATGCCAATGTATTTTCAGAAAGCCTGATGATTAGTCCACTGTGATCACAGAGAATTTATGGACAGATTCAATGGGTAAGTTCAGACATTATAACCACAAATGGCAAGGCAGTTTCTTTCCAAGTTTAGAATGGGTTTGAGTACTTTACAGTCAATATATGAACACAATATCTGTATCTATATCTAGCTTTATCATGTATATCATATATATCTTTTTATGATGGAAGGGAACATTGTTTAAAGGGAACACTCTTCTAAAGGAAACAGTGAGTACTTATATAGTCCTTATTCCTAAAGGTCACAGGACCATTAAGGTGATCAATCATCTTGCTAGAAGTGACTGTTCAAGCTACAGCAATATTATGTTGAGCCGTTGCCTGGTGATTAGGGGAAACGTCAAAATGATAAAATACAGAATGAGAATCTATAAATAGAAACAGTTGAAAATTTCCAGATAACCTTGATAAACGGAGAAAGGAGGAAAATAGGCGCATTTTACTTAGATTTCAGAGAGCTGACTTTGGTTGCATTTGAGTCCTGAACTTCAGTCTGTCTCCAAGCCCTTGAAAATGGGGAGATTGACACCCACATAGCAGATCACAGTAGGCTTGGCTTCCCTGACAACATCACAGAGGTCATCTATGTATGCATGTATATGTGGGTATATATGTATTTCTTTTCCATCACAGATATTCCCAGTGCATAAAGGCAAGTAAAGACACATTTTTACTCATCTGCTGGCAGACATGTCTACAGTTGCCATGCTCTCTTCCCTGCTTCCAGCACACAACATAATTATAGGGCCAAGAGGTGAGGCTGGACCACAACATGCCTAGAGGGGTCCAGAGAAAGACTGGGAAAGTAAGTGATGCTTGAAAACAGAGAGAAAAAACCTGTCATGTAAAGACACGCTGAGAGCAGAGTTGTGACCAAAATGATCACGTGTTAGGCGGGAGCTGAGGCAGGCATCCAAGAGAATTGTATTTGATCTTCATTTTAAAATATCAGATGTGTAGTTTTAGGGTTGGGAAGCTAAAAATAGGCACCACTCCATATAACTTACTCTCCCTAATTTCTTATAATTAATTCTCAAACAGCTTGTATTTCCCTAGCTGCATGTAAGAGGTATATTAAGGACAATACTTGAAAATACCCCCAAAATTTAAAAAAAGTGGAAGGTTAGTCACATGCATATATGATTAATACACTGATATCTGTTCTACAGATTTTATTGCTTCTTGCTTTCAAAAAGTGTCTAAATATGATATTCCAGATGCTTCTAATCATGAGGTATTATTGATTACAAGTGAAAGACAATGGCCATTTATTTGAAGGCCGTGATTATTTTATTTCATTTTATACATAGCACGTAAACCGTGATTGCATGTGTTTAATATTTTGGCAGGAAATCTTTACATAAAGCAGAGCGATAAAAACCAAGTATTACATCATCCGTATTTTTTTTATTTCCCTGCTTCCCTGACTGCATTTTTTTTCCTTATCAAACTGATTTGGTTTCAATGGTTTGATCTGTTTTTTCCTATTCATTTTCTTTTTTCCTGTTTAAGTTCTTTTCTATATTTCTATTTACTACCTGCCTGGATTCCTGGTTTTTCCATGTCTTCACTCTTTGTCATTTTTTTCTGGGCAATGTGTCTACTTGTTCCCTCCAGTAAGCCTTGTGTTCCTCTACAAAACTGATTTAAATAATTCTCTTTTCCAAATGGTGATCCAGGGCCACAGTGAACAAAAAGATGAAAATACCATTGTCCATCGGGAGCATTACCTTTTAATGTGAATTTGGCTACTAAATAACTCAAGTCTTTTATATTTTCTAGTAACCTGGCTGCACACACGATATGGTCCTGTCTCCAAAGGGTCACAGAAAAGCTCCAGCTCACTGGACCACCATCTTTTCACTTAGGAGAAGTTCTCAAATGCAGGTCGTAGGACTGCTAAAGATTCAATCCAATCCCCATCAAAATCTGCAGGCTTTTAAAAAAACTTGACCAAGTTGATTCTGAAATTCACATGGAAAAACTGAGGAATTAGAATGCTAAAATTTTTTTTAAAAAAGAACAAAGAGGATCCATACTTTCTTACATCAAAGTTTAGTATAAAGCTGTGACTAAAATAATACCAAAATTGTGATTAAAATAATACCAAATTGGTAGAATGAGAGATTAATAGATTAGTGTAACAG